AGAAGGTGGGGAGGATGGATGGGGACAGGTGGGCTCTCCTCATACTTCTCATGAAGTACATGTGTTTTTGTGCCTTTTTGACCAGTGAGGTGGTGTTTACAGTCCAGGTGAGGGTGTCTGTGATGTGCACCCCCAGGAATTTGGTGCTGTTGACCACCTCTACAGCTGAGCTGTTGATGACCAGTGGAGCGTGGTTAGGCCGGTTCTTCCTGAAGTCCAGGATGATCTCCTTCGTGTTCTCCAGATTCAGGATCAGGCTCTTATCTCTGCACCAGTCCACCTCCACTTCCTCTATGTAGCCCTGGTTGTTGTCATCTCTGATGAGGCCCACCACTGTGGTGTCGTCTGCAAACTTCATGATGTGATTGGTGGTGAACCTGGGGACGCAGTCATGTGTCATCAGTGAACAGGAGGGGGCTCAGGCCTGTGCTCAGGGTGATTACATCAGGGGTGTTCTGTCCGACCTGGACTGACTGAGGTCTGTTGATGAGGAAGTCTAGCAGTCTTCATTTTAGTAGCCTTCTTACCAAATACTTTTTTTTACTCTTAACTGAGTAATTTATTTAAACCCTACATTTTACTTTGAGTAAAAACAGAGCACATTTTTTGGCACTGGTAATATTTCATTCATATCATTTTTTAGGTCTTAATTCTATTTTTCATGTCTAATGGCCAGTTAAGAAACAAGTAAACAAAGTAATAAACAAAACCAGAATTATTTCTATATTTCTTATTTCAAAGAAATCTACCTTTTGTTTTGTTGGTGATTTTGTCCTATCTCAATAAGGTCGGACACCGCTGGTGTAAAGGTTCTTTTATAGAGTCAGCTGGATGAATCAAACCTTCAGATCTGCTGCAGCAAAGAAGGGAGAATGTGCTTATTTCAAGAAAAAAAATGACTTAGATTTCTTTTTTTTTTTCTTTTTTTTTTTAGATATGTGAAGGAGAATATCCTCATCATAAGACAACCTACTCCCTCCTTAACTCATATTAAAGCTCAGAGTTTTTATTGATTCACTGCAGCAGGATCTGCACAAGGATTTTGCATGGAAACTAGAGTGTTTTTGGCACAGGCTGGATTTGAAAAGCAGTTTAATATCTTTCAGTTATCCAGATTCCAGACACAGCCTGATGTAATTCCGATTAAAATTTCCAGAAATACCTCTAACTGTCATTTTTATTTTATTACATTTACTTATTTTTTTTGTTTTAAAACAAGCGAAATGCAATAGACCTATAATAATCAATGTGTATGTTAAGCGCTTTGTCATAATACAGAGGTTCATTTGGGAACATCCCTGTTCTCGGCTCCCTCTAGCGGCAGCTCCCTGGAACTGCACCTCTCTTAGGCGGTGTCAGATCAGGGCGCGCGGCGCGCTCTGTCTCGCGCCCCCAGCAGCTGAGCGACTCCTGTGAAGGATGGCGGAGCTCTGGTTCTGATTTAATCAGTCTTTGCTGAAAACATCTGAACAAAGGAGACCCTCGGGATCCCAGAAGGCAACGCATTCTCCAGATAAAACCAAGGTAAGAATAAATAATATTTAAATAAACGTCACACATGAAAACAGATGTTATTGTTTCAAGAAAATGGCAGAATTTCGCTATAACTAATTTTTTTCTTCCATTTTGACGCCATATATGCCGCCGTGTTCGCTTTGGTTTATTTATTTCATTATTATATAAACATCTCCATATTGATGCAGGACTTGTTGGCAGGGTTTACTCCTACAGAAAGTCACTACATGTGTTTGTGCTGCAGTGTCACCGGCGTTAATCCTGGATTTTCCTCTAATCTTCCAGCTCCTTTGCCACTTAAACACTCAGGCACCAATAAACACACTGTTCAGACAACGACTTAGTGGCAGATCCTCAGTTTATCAGGCAGCTGCATCACGTTGCCATGATTTCACGCATAAGCAGGCATGCATCCTTCATTGCATACTGTTGGTGTTTAGAGTGAATAAAAAGTGATAGATTGCTGCAATACCTCAAGTCTCTTTCTTTAAATCAGATGCATGTTTTTTTTTTTTTTTTTAAGTCCACATTAATATCCTCAGCTGCATCTTTTTAGATGCTGCTTTGCAAATCCCCTCAGCACAACAAACCTGGCATGCAGGGGCGGACTGACATGCTGAATCAACAGCAAGCTGGTCCAACACCCCCCCACACACCTCCCTTCTCCTCCTCATAGAGTTGTGCAGCAGCTCTCTACTGCTGCCTCACAACTCCAGGGAAATAAAGTTGCAATTTCAAGCTGCGGATCAAGATCCATCGACCCACACATGTCAGGAAATAGAGTGACTATGCGTTATTTTTGGCCAGTTTCTGTAATATTTCTGTGGTCTTGTTTGAACCGAGTGGGCGGTCCTCTGCCCCCCCCCACACCCTTCTGTGTAATGACAGCTCAGGGTGCCTGATAATGAGCCCTCTGTGGGCTTTGAGCGCACAAAGTTCTGCAGTGCTCCTGCGTTTCTTTGCACACCTCCTAATAAATCTATTTGTGCTTTCTCATCACTTTGCCACTAAAGCTTGGTGATGGGGGGGGCTCCAACCCCCCCAGCTACACACAGGATGTGTGCCAGTGTACTAAAGCTGTTTTATTATCGCAGCAGAGGGCATCGGCCTCGCTCTCCAGCCGCCAGCATGATGAAAGGCTGCCTACAGTTCCTTATCGAGCCGGCCAAGAAGCTCAAGATCCGACTCAAGGTATGGCGCTCCGCTGTCAGGACGACTGACCTTCACTGACCTGTATGCACATGCATAAACTTTCGGGATAGGCGACCTGGACTTAAAATTTCCTCATGATTTCTGATTTTTATTATGATAAAGATAAAAGTGAAAATATAGCATTCTCTTTATCTTTTATAGTAGTAAAAACACTATTTTTAAAGACAATAGCAGTGGGAATAACTATCAAAACAACAAAAGCCATGCTGTCAGTTGTTTTTGATTTGTAAACATCATAAATTGGGGTTTATTTTTTAACTTTCTTTTTTTCACTTACAAAGAATCTAAATATTGCCTACAAACGACCTGTCATGACCTTCTGCTTCTCTTCAAGGAATCTCGCAAGAGAGTGAAGCAGGACAAGAAGGAGCCGCTGGTGGAAAGTCAGTTATTTATTATGGAGCTGGGTCGGGAGCTGAACAGGATCTGCCAGGTGAGCCTTTCCTGTCGCTCCCTCTGAGGTGCAGCCCTGCATAAAATCTCACCCTATAATGACTTTAATTAACCAGAGAGTGAGGGTAGCGCCATGTTTACACCCAAAAATGTCTAATAAAAGAATATGACATGTTTAAATTGGTTTGATTCAAAAGAGTAATTATTATTCCCACCACAATTCTTATTCATAAAAGGTCGAAATTTAAAGAAAACCAACTGAAAATAGTGGTAATTTGCAGCTACTAATTCTGCAGAATGTGGTTTAGTTCTTTTTTCCATGGATATGGAGCTGACATTAAGGGAGAACCAGGGGTTGACTCTTATTCCTTCATTTCTCAGAGATCAAACATCCTCAGCCACATCTGGACGGGTGAGGACATCTGGTCTGCCAGCATTTGCAGAGACTTCATCGTGGACTGGGCTGCTGTGCTGGAAAAGAGGGTGCAGGTACCAGCGAGGCGTCAACGCTCGTTTTGCCAGCCAAAACAAAATACTAAAAATGTCTCCTGGTCTTTCGTTCAGCACAAGATCATGCCATCTGAGTACCAGTACGAAAAACCAGCAAAGAGGGACTGGAAGGGGCACCTTCTCTGCATGTTGGAGTCAGAGGGCGAATACGACATGGGGCCGTACAAACGGGTCATCATGGACTGGACCCGGGAGATTAAAAGCAGGGCTCAGGTGAATGTTCAACACAAATGCTTTGAGTCAAAGTGATTAAAGTCTGACCCAGTTCCCTGAATGTGTCTGATCAAGATGATTACCATAAACCTTGATAATCTGCTGGTCATATCTGAAGCTAACAGCATTCCTGGTCTCTGGTTTGTTGTCACTAGGCTCCTGTCTGGCCAGGTGAGCCGGTGCTCATGATGTTGGATGATCTGGAATTCCAGTGGAAGAGAGGCCGCCTGCCCAACCTGCTCCCAGCCATGGAGCTCATCATGCTGGCTGTGCTGAATGCTGACAGCCCAATAAAGGTCTGGACGGGTGTCAGTGTTTGTTTCTCTTTCTACATCCTGCTTGAATGTGTAGCTACTGAGTTTTATTCTGAGCCAGATAGAGTGAAAACACAGCAGATCTGTTTTCAGGTCAGTAGTAACAGGCTCTTAAGAGGGATAAAACTCTGTATGTGTGCTGCATGATATCAAGTCATGCTAATCTCTTTATCTGACTGTCCAGTTCACCTTGGCCTGATTTCGCTTTATGTTTCTGTGTGTAGGAGGATGTGACTAAACAGTGGCTGGTGAAAAAGCAGAGGAGCCAGAGGATTGGTGAGTCGAGAGGAAACCAATCTCCACATGTCAAAGCTAAAATTAAAGCTGGATCAGGATGCTCACATTGTGCAGCTATTCTTGTTTAACTTCTGCATAAAAGCTGCTAAAATACAGCCACAACAAATTAGGGTTGTCTCACTGAAATAATGTTTTGATGTTTTTCTTTCAGATGCAGTCCGCTACATCCCACACGGTGGTAAGTTCACATGTGGGTTGTGAAAGCGAATGGAATAATGTCTACAGTCAATACTGTTGAATAAAAATCCTAATACAATCATATAAGGATGCAAAAAAAAAAAAAAAAGAGACCTCAGCAAAAACCAAAAAACAGAAAAGGTTGCCCGACTGGATTATCTGATATGTTGATTGCAAAATCCAAATATACCTAAAAAAACGGAAACACTTTTTTTCCCCAGGAGGTGTTTAAGGTTTTTCCGACTAGATGTGGCATATTGATCCGGTGCAGTTCAGTCATGGTTTCAGTAACATAATAGAAAGAGGAAAGGGGAAAAAAACCCATAGATTATTTGTCTATTTAGGCTGCCTCTCTGGGAAGTGTGGATCTATTAAATGATTAATCAAGTTATCGTTGCAGACGTTTCTGTAAGCTGGGGATTTGAAAATTATTTTAAAAAAGGAGATCATTCCTATTTGAAAATATTCAAATACTGTATGTCTTAAATCCTGATCCTATGAGGATGATTTTTTACAACTATATAATTATGCGTGAGAACTATCCAGCAGCTTATTGTATTATGAATTAAAATAAGAGATTATCCCTTGGTTCTTGGTGGAGGAGCCAAGCTTATGACAGAGGAACCTCAACCAGGTAGGTTAACCTGACAGATTCCACTTTATAACCTTCAGCATTAAATATCATGAAGGATAGTGTGCTTCCTGGTCCTAGATGAGAGGTCTTGAACAGGGGTTCTGCGATCCCTAGGGGGTCCTTGGAGGTACTGCATGGGGGTCACAAAAGTTTGGATTATACTTTTTTTATATTCCCCCCTGCAATTTTTTTCCACTAATTGAAAAGTTTTTGATTACACATTAACATGACTTCAACACACTGTAGTGTGTTCAGTTATCAATGCACACATTCAGCGACACACAGGGGCTCTTTCAAGCTGGGCACCGTTTCATTCATAACACCTGTCTCATCAGCAAGGAATCAGAAACAGAAATTAATAATACTATTTAATAATCTCAGGGCGACATTACTTTTGTTACATTACTCCATATGTAATAGTGACTATAGGACCAGTTTGATAGAACACAATTTCATACAATATATATAATTAGAGGGTGCCCGCTCCATCTCGCCATCAGTTTGGTGTCCTTGGCCTGGAAAACGTTGAAGACCTCTGTCCTAGATGAATACTGTCTATTTTAATAGGGTATCTTTATTTTCTTTTTTAAGCAATATTTATTTGGACAAAGATGACTTCAGTAATGGCTAAGCTAGTGTTTGTGCTAGTACTTAGCTCAAATGGATACCATCCAAAATTTATGTAGTTTCCTATTTAAAGGAGCAAAATGTGTTATATTTGTAGTTAGGGTGTTGCTGGTATATTAACTAAGGATATTGCTCTTTCGGTATGCTTATTTAACCAAGGTATTGCTGGTTGTTTTAGACAAGTTACTGTTAGTTTATTGAGGAAAACTATCGGCTCAGCTGCAGGTCCAGACAAACATAATCTTATCAATTATGAACTAATATTGAAGGAAATGTATAAGTCTGTGAACACAAGACTCCATGAAGTCCATAAAATGAATGCTATTTGCAGGGTTGAGCAGGTTAAACATCAGATTATAACTAGTTGGATTCTAACATTTATCAGGTGTAACGAGTCTTTTTCCTCTTTACAGTTTGGAACTGGATTTGCGAGGCATCAGGTATGAAAAACATTTACCTGATTGATCACAGGTAGTTTAAATTCAGCCTTTAATTGCTTTTCTCTGCTGCTTGGCTCTACAGAGGATATCACCCTGGACTCAGAGTCTGCTAACCCCAACTTGCTCATCTCTGATGATGAGAAACGCATGCGTTGCGGTCTGGAGCGCCGCGTTGTCCCACCCTGTCAGGGGCGCTTCGACGGATGGTGGTGTGCTGTGGGAAAGGAGGCCTACGCCTCCGGACGCCACTACTGGGAAGTGGAGGTAGGCGAGAGAGACTGGCGTCTGGGTGTTGCCAAAGCATCCGCTGTGAGGCAGGGCTTCCGTTCCCTGAACACAGACACGGGGTACCTTACCATCCGGCTGGAGAGAGGCACGGATCTGAAAGCTCTGACCGTGCCCGCTTCCCTTCTACCCCAAAATCTGATGCCCAGAAAAATCGGGGTGTATCTGGACTATGAGCTGGGCCAGCTGTCCTTCTACGATGTGGAGAAGCGGTCACACATCTACACTTACAATGAAAACTTCACAGAGGAACTGTACCCTCTGTTTGGGACCGTGGAGGTGGTCAAAGATCTGGTGATCCGACCTGCAGGCGTCCGACAGCCATGCCTCTGTCCCGGGCCGTGCCTGTGGACCTGAATGCCATGCAGTAACCAACCCGGACTCTCTGCAGCCCTCTGCTTTGTGCTGAGGTGCCTCATGAGATCAGGATCAAGAACTGCCATTCATCCATATTGTTTTCGTATTTTTTTGCCTTCATGGACACATAGTAAAACGGACTCTTTGTAACTTACAGATTAATGTTTGTCAGGTAAAAAGTGTCAGGTAAAACAGAGTGTCAGGTAAAAAAAAAAATAGACATTTTTGGTGGCTCTTTTCAAAACACATAATAGATTAGATTTTCATACAGCACATTTTTCATAACTTCAACTCTAAAGTCAAAGAGTCTCTCGGTGCAGCCAGCCCTCCACAGATATAATCAGACTGGACTGACGCATGTGAGCTCTTAATCTCTGCGTGATGCTTCTTCTAAAGCCTGCTGCAAACATTTCCAGGCATGAGCTTGTTAATGCACCCCTGCTGTTGTTTATTTTTTGTGCAAAATGTAAGGATGGTAAATCTGAGTGAACTATAAATGTCCAATTCTGTCTGTAAAATGAGAGTGAGTCAATAATCAGTAGTCATTGTTTTATCATAAATCTTTATTAAGTGCAAAATAAATGATGTACAAAAATGCTAAAAAAAATTGGACCTGCTTAGATGTAAATTACGTGAAATGTAAAAATGTTTAATGGATGTCTTTTTGATGCACTGCTCATTATTATTCTGTAAATTTATTAAGAAAAGGATCTAAAATGTCTTTAAAAAAAAAAAGCCTTTTCAAAGTTTGAACCCAAAGTACAGTAGAACCTGAAGCAAAAGCAAATACAATCTTTCTGTCTTCAACCATCCTCTCCCTATCATGTCTTCCATTCTTCTAATGTTAATCCACTGAAGCAAAATATAAAAAATATGCCACGTATTAGCCACGCAAAGAAAGGAAATACATAAAAAAATACAGCTGTATTGAAGTGCAGATATTTTAAATGCGATTTTTCTGATTCCCATGTCTTAAAAACTCCCTCTGGGTTTGTCTTGCGTGGATGTAAATAAGCAGGAACCAAATTCAAAAATATAAAAGAAGTCTGAAATAGGTGTATATATTGAGGAAAAATGTGTTAACACACAATAATATAATTTATAAACAAAAAAAGAACACTGTGAGCCTCTTAGAAACATCTCAATTTTAACAAGGACCTAATAAGATCTTGGATAACAGAACAGGAACTGCAGGGAAAGGTTGCTTTAAGGCTGCAGTTTGTAACAAAGATAAAAACCTTATTTTATCTCACACTCTTACCCTATACACACACAGATATGTATGTGCACACGCTCTGGAAATCTTTGGCTTCCTGATTGGTTCAGAAGTTGCTATTATGGGAGCAAGTTTTTAGGACTCATAAAACATTCTCTTTGTGACAGTCGTTCCTCCCACGACGCCCCTCTGAACCACTTCCCTGGTCACCTGACGGCTCACCATGCCTCCAGTCTCCGTGAGCTGAGTCATCATCATCCCATCTGTTTAGCAGAGAGGTACGAAGTGAACACAGCAGATCAAAAGGGAGACGGGATCCATTTTTTTTTATTTTTTTTGTTTTCTTACCTGAGAAATATGGGTCGTTAAGCATGGTGTGGGTGACGTTTGTTCTGGTGGTGACTTCTGTTGGCATTTGGAAAACCTCCCTCCTCGTCACCGACTGGTTGCTGTACTGAGATAAGGCACCTACAGGGCATAGTGAGGGCCAAAAGAGTTGCCATTTAGGTGGAATCTCAAATTGTAATGTTTACACTGAAAATTGATTCCCAAAAAGTGTAAAAGCCCACTTTTCTTATATGAAAATCAAAGCTTTATAAGCCAGTCACTCATGGAAACCTTTACTGCAATAACAGCTGCTGTTCTTTTAGGGTTTGTCTACATCTGAAACCTAAATTTTTTTAATTTCTCTTGGCTTCTGCTCAGTTAGAATGGTCAATTTTTCAGTTGATCCACATAATCTAATGTTGAATTAACCTGGACTCTAACTGAGCCATTCTGACCCATAAATATGCTTTAACTCAAACCATTTGATTGTAGCTCTGCTTGGACATTTAGGCTTAATGTTCAGCTGGAGGAAAGATGTTACTTTCATCCAAGATCTCCTTGTATTTGTATCTTTTATAAGATGCTTCTCCCGTCTTTCTTTAAACAATAGAGGCCTTCTTGTCATTTTTCTTTTGCTTCTGACTCTTTCTCTGGAGAGTTTGCAGTTCAACAATTTCTCATTTCTGCACTTCAGTCCTTCATAATCTCTTACCTCCATCCTGAGACTCGATGGTAATGATGCCTTCCCTCTCGGGACCAAAACCCTGCGTGGTGCGAGCCTGAACCTTGAACTTATACGGAACATTCTCAGTCAGGTTGGGGACAGTCAGGCTGGTCTCTGCGGTGTCACCGTTTACTTTGAAGGTGCGCAAATCACCTAGAAAAAAAAAACCCAAACAAACAACGAATGATAATTACACCCTGAGATATTAGAGACATGTATGGCAAACAGTATAGAATTTTTTTTAACATTTATTTTACCTCCACCATGCAGCTGTTCGCAGGTCACAACATAGCCTAGGATATCTCCGTTGGGTTTACGTGGTTTGTCCCAGGTGAGCTGCAGCGAGTCGGGACTCAGGGCCGTGAACACCAGGGGACCTGGAGCACTGGGCGTACTCAGGGTGAACGGTGAGCCTGGACAGAGCAGAGGCACCAAAACCCATTATGGTAACAATGAATACATGATCGTGTTTATAAATAAAAGTGTAGGTAATCAGAGCCGGCACCTGGCATAGGACTGAGGGGGCTCTTAGGGTCCACGGCTGACTCGATGGTGATGACTCCCTCCCGTTCTGGACCCCAGCCCTCCTGACTCTGAGCCTTCACCTTAAACAGGTAGGAGTGGTTGGGCAGCAGGTCATGGATAACTACAGAGTTCTCTGCTGGGTTCGTCACATTGATGCGCTTCGTCTCGCCTGCAGAAGACAAACTGATGAATGCTTTGGACCTGCTAAGTGCAGAACATGGATGATATGACCTGTTGATTTAAACTAAACAGGAATCAAATGCATTATTCGTACCTCCATTGAGCAGCTGGTACAAAACAGAGTATCCCTGGATGTCTTTCTCACAGTGTGGCTCCTGCCAACTAACTTTAAGCGCAGTTGGTCCCAGAGCTGAAAACACCAGTCTGCTGGGGGTGTCTGGTACACCAGGAGAGAGTCGAGCATCTGTTAAAAACAACAAAATAAGATATATCTGTGAGAAAAGCTTAGAAATCTGTTATTTTCTTTGCATCAATCCATTCATAAGCACTATGTTTGAGCATACCTTTATATATGTATATATAAACTGCTACCAATTTTAAAATGTTTAATTTTATGAAATAGGACAGATTATGATTACTGATTTAACTGAAATGTCCTTAAGGACAAAGACCACATGATCTGATAGGTGATGGGAGGTCTGGACGCAAAATTAAATGACTCATTAATGAGAGTCAGTTCATTTCAATTTTAAACATCATAATCTCTCTAAATTAATTCTTTATGTCACACATTTTATCCATCTTAACGCAGCAAACCCACACTGGAAAAAAACGATCTAGAAATATGTACAAATTTCTTAAATTCAGTGTATTTACCCTTAATTTGAGTACCGTAGGTAAATGAGGTAGTTTACCAATGGAATGAGTATTTTTACTCTTGAAATAAGATCATTAGATAACATGCACTTCAAATAAGACAATGCAATTGTGTTATTGTCATATTTTAAGTGTGAATTGTCTTATTCCATTGGCAAAATGCCTCTTTTACCTCCTCAATCCAGGAACAAATTGAAGTATTTTAAGAAAAAAAAGACTTATCTAGATTTCAATTTTTTCCAGTGCAGACCTATTTTATACATGTCTGATAATTATTGAAGCACAGAAGAAAATGAGAATTAGCACACTGGGTGACCCCTTTCTCAAACAATAAAAATGCAGGAAATCTTAAAATATTGGAGCAGAATAAAATGTTGTGCTGACAAACAATATAAAATTGTTTCCTTTTTTCAGCAGCAAGCAGCAGATGCCAACTCTCCATTGACCGCAGATGCATAAAAGCAACATAATGTGGCGACTGGGCTTCCCTCTGCTGATGCCACCCTACATAACCACCGGTATCAAAAACCACCACTGACAAAAAAGGTTTGCACTTGAAAATCCTCTGCCTTCATGCATGCATGTGGGAGACTTACCATGGATCACTCTGTCCAGCCTGTATAAGGCCTCATTGACCTCTGAAGACTGAGTCCTGGCCCTGGAACCCTGAGACAGGCTGTAGCTGTACTGGTTCTGAGAGCTGCTCTGCAACCCAGTGTAGCCGAACCCACCTGATGGCGCATTTAGCAGAAGGAAGAGGAAGAAGGAATGGAAGAAAGATGAAAATAAACAAGGGGACGAAGCATCAGGTAAAACAGAAGGAAAACAGAGAGCAAGAGACAAAATGGGAGGGAGAGAGAAAGAGCGATAGTCAGCATAGCTCCTGCAAAGTTTGAATAAATAAGCCTCCTGTGCAGCCAACAGCCCCAACCAATGTCCACAAGCTGTCAGGTCCATGCATTCATACAGGTAACCTTCCCTGTTCTTGTTATTATTGCAATAACATAACATCTGCCTCCAGGAGCAACAAGAGGAATATTCTCATAATCAATGAAATCAGTACAGAAGCCTGATGGAAACGTACCCAGATCTGGGAACTGGTTCGTCACATCTCCCATGACGATGGAGTCCCGAATATTTTCTTCTGGGTAACCTCTGTTCTCTGATCGCTTCCTCATGTGGACTTCCGTTGTATGCGTCCCTCCTCCAATCATCTCGTGTCTGCGAGGGCTTCCTGCGTATTGAAACAGAGCAGGCATTACATCATGACGTTCTTCCAAACTGGTTCTCAGTACCAGTACCTGCTCCATCTTCCTTACCGGGCCCAGACATGTAGGTGGTGTGTGTCTCTGTGGTGAAGGAACCGCCTGCTCCCTTGTAGTTGGAGCTCAGAGTGGACATCGGAGAGGATGAAGCAGAAAGGTTGCGCGTTGATGAGCCTCCCGGGAAAAGGAAGCCCTGATCCCATTTTCCATTCATCATGTAATCTGTAAGACACAACAAAGCATAGAGGTAAAAGCACAGGTTCTACACACTATCCTTCATTTTTAGCATTCCACAGCTCCAGTGATGGGAAGCACCTAAAAGCAGCGAGCCACTGTTGGTTCCTTAACAGCCTAAACTCTTAAAGTTTTCACAAAGAGCACCAGAGATATAGCAAATGTTTGTAATGTGGAAGAAGAAAATATCTCTTAAGATTGTTGCATTTCCTTCAGTAAGAATTTTACAGAGGTACCGAAAGAAAAGAGAAACAAAGTAGTTTCCAATATTTGCATTTACCAGACTACTGAACTTATAAATGGATGGAAATACATCCTGATGAAAAAAAAACGGTTTAAATTCTGGTTTTGCTTTTTTTTGTAAAATCCCACTGGTCCATAAAACAGAAAAGAGAACTACTACTGGTCTCGTTAAAGGTCCGAGAAAGAAGAACATCCACACAGATGTTAGGGTTTCTGAAGGATCCACGGTTGAATATTGGCGTCACTGGAGCCTCATCATTCCCTAAGCATATTATTCATCAACCCAGGCGTAGCCAGAAAATTTTAATAGGGGTGGCCAGTGAAAAACTAATGTACACCGAGGGGTGGCCGAAAAAGGATAGGCGCCAGAACCTCAGGGTCAATATACACTGTTCCAACAGGAACAACCACTACATCCATATTTTCTAAATAAAGAAAAACTATACTTTCCTACAGCCTTTGCTAACAAATAGATGCATATATTTAATTATCCGTAATTTCTAGATAAAAGGTAGTAAAAGGTAGGGGACAAAATTTCTGGGGCGAACATCCTTTACATTTACATTATTTACCTACTTTTATCAAAAAATGTTCTGCATAAAATGTATATTTACATGTACTAAGATATACATTAAATTGATTTTAAGTTATTATTAAAGTAGTAATTATTTATGATTTCACTGAAGACTCCTAGATGACTTGCAGAGAATTTTCTATTTACCCCATATAACACAAAACTTAGTTCTGAAGTGAGCATGAATTCTGTATATATCAACTTTGGATTGACCCGGTTCAATGGCTGGGCAGATCAAATTCATGTACATCACATTGCTTCCTTCATTAATTAAAAAAAAATTATGTCGAAATTATTACCATTTCCATCCTTAATGTTTCTTCTCTAATTTTCCTTGGTCCATTTCAAATCACAATAAAATATGCTGATGTTTGTGACTGTGTGGTGAAAACAACTAAGGTTGGACACACACAATACATCTATAAGGCACTGAATGTGTTTCTGCATGTTTCATGAAATGCTACTAAAGAAGAAGAAGAAGAATAAAAAGCCAAATGTAGCTGCAGATGAAATTCTCATCTTTGAAACTGAAGAACTGACCAGAACTGACTTTTTCTTCATTCCGTACCACAACAGCACAGCAGGAAGCTTCCTCTAGATCATCACTACTCAAGTGAGATGGGGAGAGGACAGAGAGGGGCAGGGGTCTGAAAAAGCCTGGATCATCAACTGGAGGTGGGGCAGTTGATGCCAACGTTCAATGCTGTGCAGCCGGTGGGAGAATAGACGTGAAAGGTGCAAAAAACCAGACGAGGATTGAAGCCTGAAATGCAGCTGTAGAGAAACGACCTCAATGCCCCATTGGCAAAGTAACCGGCCGTGCATAGCAGCTGGCATGCTCGCTGTCTGCCTGTCTTAGCAGTCGATCTTGTGGGGGGGGGGGGTTGTCTTCACCTGGCAGGGGCGTCTGGTAGGAGCCGGGGTGGGGAACCTCATCTGAGCTCATCTCTGTGTCTGTGCTGAGCCGACTGGGGATGACCTCCACTCGCTTTTTCCATGAGACTTGACGGAGATCCAGGTTTGACCCCACCAACTTGACATACTGCCAGCCTTGATTGCGTGGTCACAGAAGAAAAGCAGCGATTGCAGGGATAGATTGGCAGGGAAGAAGGGCTTGATTTACTACACATGGAACAACAAATTACTTTATCTCATGTTAGTTTAGGAAAGTCCTTATTGTCTCAAAGGAGGACAAGTAACCAGCAAAGATAATAAACAGGAGCGACAGGAGGTCTATAGGATGGAGAGCTTGAGGTTAGTCATTGTAAAGCATGAGGGCATATAGACAGAGACGCATCGGGACAAGATTCGTTGCTCTCCCAGTTTGGAGTGTTGTCTACAGCTATTATGTCTGCCAGATGGAGATAATAAAAAAGCAGAACCATGAGGAGAAGGAGTTCAGTTCTGACGCTCTGTGTGAGCCTTTAAATGTGAGGACGGGAGCCGATGCCTGGCCTTTATTCAAAAGCAACACAAAGATAAAGATTACAGGATATATCTGCTGCACACTTTTTTCCCCATATATTTTCTACCACATGGGGTTTTGAAGAGCCTCAGTATAGAGAGTGAACTGAAACAACTTGATTTAAAATTTTCCAGAAAATGCGTACTTCCTGAGTCTGGCACATGCATGCTTTTATTTTGCCAAATATGCAGCAGTGCATTCCATCAGTTAAACTTCTGCTTTCATTATCACCACAAACCTTTTATTAGGGATTTATTGGATAGACTATCATGCATTCCTGTTGAGTGGAAAATTTATATATTATATGATTTTAATTGTTTATACAAATCTGAGAACCGTAGTATTTGTTTGTACTTTTGGCCTTTTATGCATCATGCTGCAAAAATGTTCCTCTGATTGGACGGAGAAGCTGCTCTTATTCACACACCTCCCTGTTTTGGACTCTCTATATAAAACAGCAATTAAATACATTGGGAATTTCAGGGAGTTTTGAGTTTAAAAGCGATGTTTTGGTTCTTGGTACCCACCGTCACCAGAGACACTCGGTGCCTTAGAGCTTGTTGGTGACTTCATCACATCACTGCTGTACATCAGGTAGCTGTCATATTCATCTCCTGCCTCGGCATCCACAATAGGGACATCTGGAATGATGGGAACTACAGACAGGAGTGAGGAGGAGTTAATTTCGTCCAGTTGAACCAGAATGAAGAACCCGAACTTGTTTGGTGCAAACTCACTGGATAGAGGTCTGGCAGGCTGTGATGCCAAGTTGATGGTAGCATCTTTGAAGGGGCCCCAGCCAATGCTGTTCTGGGCTCGAACTTTGTACTGATAGGTTTGGGCGCTCTGGAGGTTTTCTATCAGCAACATCCGCTTCTTTGGGTTGTCGATCTTGACCTTTTTGGCTGCTCCAACAGGTTCTGTTTGAAAAGAAGACAAAAGACTGGATAATGCAACACATCTGAGTACGGTTTTACCATTTAGAGGAAAATGTCTTACTCATTTCATCATCGATCGGTGTGTAGATGACCTCATACGCTGTGATGTTACCGTTGGTCTCTGCAGGCTCTGCCCAGCTGACCTGAGTAACGGTTGGACTGATGACGTTAAATGCCAGACGACCGGGTTCACCAGGCACTGCAGGAAAACAGAGTCCAAAGCACACCACATTACTTCTAGATCCAGAGCCAAGCTGGAGAACCAGTCTCTCTCCATTCATGTCTCATAGCAGTGAACTTTGATTTCTCAGTGATTACCGTCTTCGAGAGTTTGACAGGAAACCACATCGGTTTCAAGGCCGTCTCCAAAGGCATTATAGCCACATACTCGCATCTCATAATCGCAGTAGGGGTACAGATTCGTCAGCTCCGCTTGAGGTGTCTTCACGTCAAGAACCTGGGCGTCTTTCTCAGGGTCGCCATAGATCCAATACTTGACCTAGCGTACGAACACAGTCTCAGAGACTGCAGCTGCGACTGAGATATGGAAACTGATCAGTGAGGCATACCTTGTATCCCAGAATGTTATTCTGTAGTGAGTCCCAGTTCAGACGGATGTTTTTGGGTCCGGTTGCTTTGGCCTTAAGGTTCCCTGGAGGGAGAAGGAGACCGCCAGGGGAGGCACACTTTGGGCTCACGTAGCCCTTCGACTGAGTCTGCGCTATTTCTGGAGATCTTGGTACTGCTGAAAGAATATAATGTTCCAAGAAACAAAGTCAAGCAGCAATACTGAGCAAGCTCATCAAACTGGATCAGTAGGTTGCAGAAGTATTCATACCATTTGAGTTTTTTCCAATGTTATATATATTATATATATATATATTATATCTAAGAGACCAACAAAAGTAGCTTTTAGCTCTATTTGATCAGCCTCTAAACCCCATAAAAAAGAACACCCAAAGCATGATGCTGCCACCACTCTACTTCACCTTCAGTGCTAATATTTTCTTAATTTGTAAGGACATTTTGAAAGTAATTAGTGGCTCTAAATATTTTAAGGTCATACAAATAAAGGGAGTGAAGATAATAAATCAATTAATAATAACAAATCTATATTTTTTGTTGCTTTTACTGCTCCGTCATGTAAAACCCCAAAATGTGATTCAAGGGGTGTGAATACTTTTCAGAGAAACTGGAACTAATGGGGTGTTGTTATGGAGCTATGAATACATCAAATGTCTCCTGATTTGTGTCTCACCCCCGTCTTTTATATTGACGATGGTGTTCTTCCTTTCTCCAATAGCAGCATTGGAGCTGGGTTCAAGCAGCTCCAGCTGGAAGGTATCTTGCTGAATCAGACCAGGATGGGCTTTAGGGTCAATCGTTATGTACTTCTCCGTTTCTCCTGGAGCGAACTTCAGGATACCAGAAAGATCAAAGCGCGGATCCTTCTTGGTGCGCCACTTCACCGTGGCTGGGCTGTCTTCGTTGCGAGAGCGCACCACTGGGATGCTGTAGGTCGGATCTAACCTGCTGAAGTTCTGTGTAGCCTTCTTGAACATCATCACACTTGGTTCTTTAGTGAAAAAATAGATAAACAAACAGTTTGAATTAAAGCCAGTACCCAAGCTTTCAGTTATCATCCAAAAACTTCTAGGCAGTCATTTACCTGGTTCGTCTGTGATGGTGATGGTGGTTCTTGGGTACCGTCCTAGCTTGGCTCCCTGCCGCGGGTTACTGAGGTCCATAATGAACTGCTTTACCTGTTTTTCCTCCAAAAAGCCATCTTTTTCACTCAGCTCAAGCAAAGGAACGTAAACAATCTTCGTAGTCTCACCAGGACCGTAGGAGAGGTCTCCTTGCATTTCTTTATAGTCCTAAATTCAATGGAGGCAGATGAAGGACATACTGTTCAGTCAGTGACGGTCCTCGCAGGCTACATGTGATGCGTTGTGTAAACACAGAGTAGGCTCAGCTCACCTTCTTATTCTTGGCGGTGAGGTCTTGTGTGTTGTAGGTGACCTGAGAGCGTCCATCCTCAATGATCTCCCTGCTGATGGGGATCTTTGCCTGACCATCCTTCCTGCTGTATGTGTATTTTGGCTGGAGGAATGAGAAGATAGTTGTGGCTACGGAGACAGAGAGGGGAGATTCAATTAACTCAATGCAGGAGTGATTGTATTCACATTTCATTTTTTTTCCATTACGAATGATTTGTATAAATAACATATATAACGCACCGTGGTCTTTGATGATGGTTATGTTAACATAGCGCTTTGCAATCTCTGCGATGCCCAACGGCACATCCCTAGCCTCCACCAGCAGCTGCTTCTTGTCGTCATCATCATCCTTGGCAAACAGTGGCACATGAACATCCACCAACTCCACGTCCTCCTGGAACTCCACAGCTCCTGCAGCCTCTGTAGGGGAGCAGCGGGTTCTTTCAACATTAGACATCAACAGAAATCAACACTTTTATAGGGCTTTTATAGACTAGCACAAAACGCTGCTACATTTTCGAATAGCAAAGGCAAATTAGATATCTTCAATCTTATTTTCTTCATATAAATCTAAAGAAAGGTTGGTGGTTATTTATAACTCCCTCCTTTACTCTGATACCATCCAATTAACTCTGTACCAAGTACTAATGCCACAAAATGAAAGATTTCTAACAAAAAACTGCTGATATGGGGGAACCTGGGGTGCCTGTGGATATCTGCGGCTTGCGTTGCCTCTTTATCAGTCCTTGGCCCTGTAGGGCTAGTCTGGGGCCACCCACACCTCCTACTGAGCATATTTTCCTTCTGGAGAAGCTTTTTAAATCCTTCATAAAAAAGCATGCCCATACATACCACAGAATATGGTTCCAGGTGTTCATGCATACACACTAATACTAAATACTAAGCTCTAGCAACAGATATATAAAATCGTTTTCCACACACATTTTCCTGCTACTCTGGAAGCTTTTTTGCTGTTTCGTTCTGTTTTCTATCACTCTCATCTCATGCAGGTCATGTTTTGCTTTGTTGTATTGTTTTCTCTTGGTTTAATTTTCTTCTCCCTCTTTCCTGTCTCTATCTTGGTCTCTCTCTCCTTAATACTTATCCCCTTCCTTTCCAACCGCATGTCCGTTGTATATTATTGTACTCCCTAAATCATAAATTTTCACATATAAGTATGAAGTGAAACCTTATGGCAACAACCATAATGATCTGCTTGTGAATACAAATCTGTTGGGCTGTCATCTCGCTCAGGGACATTTTTTCTCAAAATTATATTGGCAAACAGGACAAACAAATGCCGGTACATTTATTGTGTACATCAATATTATCATTGTTTTTTAAAACGTAAAACCCCTTTCTATAATGCATACAAGCATACATGCATACATGCATGCATGCAT